AGTAGGCACGCTGTTTATGCATGGGTAGACCGTGGGGGGTTATAAATAAAACGTGCATCGAAATACAGAGATAAAATATTTTTTTATCCTTTTTTTTCAACGCCTCATTCGTGACGAATATATTTTTCTTAAACAATGTTTTTAAATCATAGAGATGCTATTTTTACAAGTCGCAAAAAAAGTAGCGACACTACAATCGTTGTAAAGTGCATATTTGATAGTATTGCCAGTAAAATCAATCAGCCCGTGCCACTTACTATATTGGAGTCTTCCAAGCTGTATGTATATCTTATTAAAAGGGTACGATTGTTTGATACAACTGTAAATGTTCAACATCAAAATGATTGTTGTACATCATACGTACATTTTTATTTGCTAATAAATTCAGCATGACTCACAACATGTGAACTATAAGGAATTGCTATGTACTTACGGCTGGATTTATGTGTGTTGATAACAGGTTAACGCGATTTATGGGGAAAGAAGAAAATATGGGACGAGAACGAGGGAAATTTGAGGAAAGAAAAAATGATCGGAAGCATCAAATTTCAATGCCGATCTTGCAGAGAGCTGAGATAGATTTATATATATTATATTCTTAAATATACAGGTGGAATACGTCCGAAGGGCAGTGCTGGCTTGGTTGGCCTAGCCTGGCAGAATTTATTTATTTCATGTTTAAGTTGTAGATGAGTTGTTGGCCAGTAATATTCACATCGCATGGGAAATCGATCACATGCAGTGGTAGAGTTGTCAATAGTTATTATTTAGAAAAATTTAAAATGCACATACTACGCACTGTAACAAGATGTCATAATGATTTTTCATAGTTAATAAAGATGAAAAAAAACCGATTAAATTAATCCACCAGAGAAAAATAGTGGTATTTAAAGTTGCAACAGGACTTGTTTCTTATGTTGCATATTTTTATTGTTTTTTGTTTTTGCCAAATATTTTATTGGTATCTACTTTCATCATCATCGTGCGCAAACGTTTTCTTGTTGTTGATGATACACTGGATACAGCCGATGTTTTTTATAACGTTGATCCATTCCATTACAATAGCTTTCCTTATTATTTCATAATATGGAAAAGACATCCGATGATTCATACGGTATTTCGAAATGGAAACTAACGACCACGCTAATGAGGAGTCGTATATCGAATCGATTGTGTAGTAGTAAATTGTTTGAGTCGTTAAAACAATTTGGATAGCATAACTGTCATACGCAATCGTTATTAAGAGACATAGAAAATGTTTTTTTTTTGTTTTGTTTTTTTTTTTCTAATACTCTTTCATTTTTTATTAAGTCTTTTTCCATTGAAAATGTCAATTTTTAGTTACCAATTACCATAGTTAATTATATATAAAAAAATGTATTGATACTTGCACGGTGATTTTTCAACTATACTTACTCACACAATGTTGCTAAAAATATTTATGATTGAAAAAAGTTTTGATTTTGCTTAAAATTTTCCAGAAATGAATGCATAAAATATATATAACATAAATGCTGAAAGAAAAGATACATGGAAATTATTGGGGTTCAACGCTTTTGANATATACCTCTCCTTTTTTTAAAAATCAAAAGTAAAAATTGTTCCACAGAGAATTTCTTGGTAGAAAAAATTAAAGACACTATTAATATTAACACACGATGTGATAAGTACGTTGGGTAGACACAATGCGAATGGTAAGTGTAAATCAGTCAACCAATGCTTTTCCTGACTGTATCCATCAGAGGTTTTAGCGTATTTTCCAGGCCCCGTATCCATATTCACGCGGTGGAAATATAATCAAACGATAATCCGCAATAAACAGGTAATGCGTACATGAGTGTATGTATAATATACGTGCACGCACGTAAGATACAGGTATACATGGAGCGACGAGGACGACGAGCATCACCGCGAGAAAGGTCGACGGCCAAGAGCCACTCCGCGCTTGTATAACGGACGCGGGACGAGTGAACGGTATATTTATACTACGCGCTATGCTGTATATACACGCTGCTCCGGTGCCACACATGCTTCCGTATAATATTTGTGGGAGAGCGCGTTCGATGGGGTATACACATATATGCATGGGTGTACCGTCCTTGGCTCTCGATCGACCCAAATTTCCCGAGAGACCGCGAACCTCCTCGTTTCCTTGTGTCGTTCCCCAATAATCAGCGTCACCCTTGCCTACTTTCTTGCTTCAACTGAATCGGTGAAGTTTACTTTACCCACAATCAGCATACTATGTTCATGCGTGTGTTTTCCCATCTCGATCTAAATGGTGGGATAACATTTTTTGTTAATGCAAATCGGTGAATAATCGGTAGGAAAAATCGGTTAATAACTTAAACAACTAACCAACGCGTTGGCGAGGGTTCACCAAAAAATTATAAAAAACGTTCATTCACCGAGATACCAGCTAGGTACATTGTAGCTACATTTATTTTACAGGACAAACAAAAATTAAAATACGGGGGGGAGAAGGTAAATATAGAAAGATGCAGTATCGGAGTTGTTATACAGATCGACAGGTCGAAGAAGTCGATTAATAAGCATGTGAGCAACAATATCAATTCGGTTGGAGTTGAGCGAATTTAGGTAATTGTTGCTTATCGACATAGGGTGTATTTACTTGATTTTACTAATAGTAAAAAAAAAGAAGCAATTCCCGTTGTATAAGAACAAAAAAAAATAAAACAAAGACTTTAGCTCTCTGAGTCTGACATCTTGTGGGGTTATTGTCCTAAAAACGAAAAAGAAGAAGAAATTCGAAATCTTTCTTGGCATATATACTATACATCCACACGTCAGGAGTTATATCGACTGGCTGTGCACTACATAAGAGCTGAGTATAGGCGGTTCTTTGCTTTTGGCTCAAAAATCTGCTGAGCCATCGCAACGGGGGCTCTCGCCCATTGTTGTATTTTTTTTTTTGCATCTTTTGCATCTTTTCTTTGACACTGCTCAATACACTTTTGACAAATTATTATTTGTTCCAGAAATTTGATACTTTTACTATAAACGAACGGAACTTCATTGTAAAATCGATGAAAAAAAACAAATGAAAATGTGTCCATCTACCCTTTACGCTCGAGCGTGTGTCCATGTACTTCAAAAATAGAAAATAATAATAATTTTAATAAGTATTTGTTTTTATTCATTCGGGTGTTTCTTAATGGGAGTGCGGGGAAAAAACAATAATTAGTTTTCTAAGAGATGGCACTGACATGTTCGAATGACAAACGTACAATTTGACTATGCGCGATGATGAGAGAAACAAAGTAAATAAACGAAAAAAGGCTGAGCCTCTTGCTCGAGAGCCACGCGGGATGTTACTGAAATTACACCCCGCTTAACCGCAGGTATAAGCACAAAGTACAGTTGGCGTGGAAAAATTTAATTTCACTCGGCACTATACTAAGTGGAACGTGGCTTGCACGATGCCCACGCTATGTTCTAGCTCACTGGAAATAACCATGGAAAGTGAGATTTTTTTTAAAAGTCATTTTCTCCTCTTTCCTTTTATGTTCATATGGTGCGACGCTTCATATCGTATTCTCCATCGTATAAATCCAGAAATATTGAGACAATTTGAGGCTTTATTCCGAAGCATTTCCATCTTTACCTTTAATCTCTATACAGCTTATATTTTGTCTATTTTTTAAGTATTTGTCCAAAATTTTTGTCATTGCGGGTTCGATTTAGAATAGCCTTACACTTTTAATTCCTGAATTATTTACATTGAGAATAATAAAAAAAAGTAAGAAATATTTTTAATAAATAATACTCCTTTGTTTTCACCTGTAGCAGCACGGACATACGTAAATAATATACATATATGCTCCAACTTGAAAGACTGTACACAACACACACCGTCCCATGTAAACAGCAAAGCCAACCCAACAATTATGTCGATTGAACGCGCTGAAATAAAAATCAGTGAAATTAATTTGAAAAAGCTGCAATTGAGGGGAAAAAACGAGCGAACGCTATGGAGAGAGAAACTACCGGAGTTAAGAAGCGTTATATAATATAGGCTCGTGTAGTTTTACGATGGTCGATGGAACGACACAATGCGCGTATACGTGTGACGCTATATAATTATGGCAAATAGTTGTATATGCTGCGTACACATGTACTACGCGTATTTGTGCAGAGTTTTCGAGAGGATGCTATATATACGCGTGGTTATATACGGACGGGGAAAAAACCGCTAGCGTAACCTGGATCTCGGTGGTGCATGCCTACCCACTTACCACGATCAACATCTCTGTTCGTGCCGTTTGACTCTTGCGCGGCTCCCAATGCTTGCACAGGCTCTTCTTTTCTCTCTCTCTCTCTCTTTTATCTCTGTAGGTGCACTTAACATGGATATACATATATCGCATACACTGAACGTCTCTATTTCTCATTTCAGTTTTCAGATGATTATCGCGTGCGTGAGAAACTGTGAAAGCGCGATGAAAATCTTCGTTGGTGATTGTATATGGGTAGACAGGGTACAAATTACCGAATTTCATTCGTGGAATACATCAAAGGAATTAATTTAATAATATCGAACTCTGGAAACGATTACTCTAAACAGCAGCCTCACAAACTTGTCCGTGACATTCCAGTTTTTTCACGGTACACGTGAGCATTAGGTACTTACCTCCGTGCTCTCGCTTATATGAGCATCCAAAAAAAATCAATTACTTGAATATTTTCATATTTGTGATTATGTGCCTAACAACTGAGTTATTTGTAAGAAATAATTTATGCACTACAATTATTATTGCCTCTATATTCCTCGTATATTCCTTAAAGTTTTACTTATAAAAACGTTTGTATACTAATCTCCATTGATTATGTTGCAAAATAAGCTCATCTTTGATTTTTTACGAGGTTTTCTTAATACCCGTACAATAACCAACATAATAAAATATCTTTNATACATAAACATACAAAAATATTTAATTTATTTTTTTATTTTACCAACCAATTAAAATTTTCTTTTACAGGCGATTTTTCTAACGATATTCCTGTTGCCAGTCAGACTCATGGCAATCACGGCCCTTGTGATAATGGCATGGCTTCTGGCATGCGTAGGACTTCACGGACTGTCGGAAGAGGATTTGAGAAAGGCACCCCTTAAAGGCTGGAGGCGGTAAGTCTCGCTTTTTAGGCATGACCGCCCCGAAGGAATGACTCGTATTTTTACCAGAGAAAAAAATGTAATCATACTTGAGTCGCGTATTTTTTTTGTACAAAAATAATTTTTAGCGCAACTTGAGATTATTTCACATTAGGTGTGTGTAATCGGCTGTACGTTTAGTAGGTGATCAAAATTTTAAATAACTCAAGTAATTTTCATTTGATTAAAGTCAATTTTATTGTGCTTGTAACTTCATTGTCGTACTAAATGACAAAGGGCATTTGAGAAGGTTTTGTCAAAAGAAACATTTTTAAATATATTTTTACAACTGAAGAAAAAAATGCACAGTTTGCCCCTTAAAACGTTTTCGATTTTGTTGTGACACAATTTTTTGCATTTAATAAAAAGCTCTTATCCGTAGCAGTAAAAACTTTTGTTTTTTCAACCAAGCACTACTTAGAAAAAATAAAAAAATATTACATTACATACCTATTTTACTTTAGGTTGGATTACAATTTGCCTATTAAAAAAAAAAAAAAATTCATCCACAACAATATAATGGATTTAAAATTCGTAATGTCTTGGAACAGTATACTTTTTTCCAAAGGTGAAATTTTTCTTAAAATGCCACGATACCGATCTAAATTGTACGATCTAACGTTGAGTAAAAAAATTATTTTAAACCCAATAAAATTTTCTAATATAAAATATTACGTACGATATAAAAACACTTTTTTCTCTGGCGATAAATGTATCAGTCGTGCCTTTTGTACAAATGCGTAGTATCTTGGATTTCCTTCTCAAGACTCATCACAATATTATCTCCTACATGTACATTGTGCCAACAATCGTAGTAGTTGTATCCACACTTCCTCTTGTTTATCTTTTTTCTTTCATAATTTATACCTCATTTCCGTGCGTATATAATACGTATCGGAGTTACTGAGACACGTACGCTATGTAGTTAAAGGCACCAGTGCGAAATTGTAATATAAAAAGAAACGAAAGGCACGCAGCGTTTCTTTCACTGTACAAAGGCTGTAGAGACGCGTGCATGGTCGGCTTGGTCGGAACAACAAGGCCGTAGAAATGTTTATAGCAATGCCACACAGCGACGTTGAAACGGAAATGCTTGCGGCAGCTTTGCGTTTGCTACGTTACATTTTTAATTGCATGATGTGCAATAAACTTTCTAAAACGACTAATACTGCTTACAACTAATCAACAGAAATAATTGGTCACTCGTTTAATATTTTATACATTATGCACGTCGTCATGACATTTTGTAAGTGTTGCATTAAAAAAAAAGCACCGTGTACGATATAATATTAAATTTATATTAGAAAATGGGTAAGTGTTAATATATTCGGGTGTAAATTTTAGAAATCGTTTTTTTAGTACCTTTTGTAAATCAATTTCATCAATTATTCAATATTTAATTTATTTTTTTATTTTACCAACCAATTAAAATTTTCTTTTACAGGCGATTTTTCTAACGATATTCCTGTTGCCAGTCAGACTCATGGCAATCACGGCCCTTGTGATAATGGCATGGCTTCTGGCATGCGTAGGACTTCACGGACTGTCGGAAGAGGATTTGAGAAAGGCACCCCTTAAAGGCTGGAGGCGGTAAGTCTCGCTTTTTAGGCATGACCGCCCCGAAGGAATGACTCGTATTTTTACCAGAGAAAAAAATGTAATCATACTTGAGTCGCGTATTTTTTTTGTACAAAAATAATTTTTAGCGCAACTTGAGATTATTTCACATTAGGTGTGTGTAATCGGCTGTACGTTTAGTAGGTGATCAAAATTTTAAATAACTCAAGTAATTTTCATTTGATTAAAGTCAATTTTATTGTGCTTGTAACTTCATTGTCGTACTAAATGACAAAGGGCATTTGAGAAGGTTTTGTCAAAAGAAACATTTTTAAATATATTTTTACAACTGAAGAAAAAAATGCACAGTTTGCCCCTTAAAACGTTTTCGATTTTGTTGTGACACAATTTTTTGCATTTAATAAAAAGCTCTTATCCGTAGCAGTAAAAACTTTTGTTTTTTCAACCAAGCACTACTTAGAAAAAATAAAAAAATATTACATTACATACCTATTTTACTTTAGGTTGGATTACAATTTGCCTATTAAAAAAAAAAAAAAATTCATCCACAACAATATAATGGATTTAAAATTCGTAATGTCTTGGAACAGTATACTTTTTTCCAAAGGTGAAATTTTTCTTAAAATGCCACGATACCGATCTAAATTGTACGATCTAACGTTGAGTAAAAAAATTATTTTAAACCCAATAAAATTTTCTAATATAAAATATTACGTACGATATAAAAACACTTTTTTCTCTGGCGATAAATGTATCAGTCGTGCCTTTTGTACAAATGCGTAGTATCTTGGATTTCCTTCTCAAGACTCATCACAATATTATCTCCTACATGTACATTGTGCCAACAATCGTAGTAGTTGTATCCACACTTCCTCTTGTTTATCTTTTTTCTTTCATAATTTATACCTCATTTCCGTGCGTATATAATACGTATCGGAGTTACTGAGACACGTACGCTATGTAGTTAAAGGCACCAGTGCGAAATTGTAATATAAAAAGAAACGAAAGGCACGCAGCGTTTCTTTCACTGTACAAAGGCTGTAGAGACGCGTGCATGGTCGGCTTGGTCGGAACAACAAGGCCGTAGAAATGTTTATAGCAATGCCACACAGCGACGTTGAAACGGAAATGCTTGCGGCAGCTTTGCGTTTGCTACGTTACATTTTTAATTGCATGATGTGCAATAAACTTTCTAAAACGACTAATACTGCTTACAACTAATCAACAGAAATAATTGGTCACTCGTTTAATATTTTATACATTATGCACGTCGTCATGACATTTTGTAAGTGTTGCATTAAAAAAAAAGCACCGTGTACGATATAATATTAAATTTATATTAGAAAATGGGTAAGTGTTAATATA